TCGACCAGTCTTGCATTCCTAGGATAAACCATGTTGCATTTTTGTCTTCTTTTTATATGTTGTAGAATTTGATCTGCTAATATTTTGTTAGGGATTTTTGCATCTAGGCTCATAAGAGATATTCATCTGCTTTTACTTCCTTCTGTCATTGTCGGGTTTTAGTATTAAGGTAATGCTAGCCTCGTAACATAAGTTGGGAAGTATTTTTTCTGTTAGTAGAATTTAACAGTGGGCTAGGAATTTTCTTTAGGAGAAGGTATTAAAGTATAGACTCAATATCTTTAGTAGATAAAGAAATACTCAGTTTATTTCTTTTGTGAACTTTGGTAGTTTGAATCATTCAAGGAATTTGTCCATTTTATTTAAGCTTTGAATTTATTGGCATACAGTTCATATTTCTTTCTCCTAATGTCTGTAGGACCTATGGTGATGGTTCCTCATTCACTCCTGGTATTTGTAATTTGTATATTCTTTATTTTAATCAGTTTGGTTGGAAATTTATCAATTTTATGGATCTTTTCATATAGGGGCTTAGTTTTCATTGATTTTTTCCCCTGCTTTTCTTTCAGTTTCATGGATTTTTGCCCTTTACTATTTTCTTCCTTTAATTTACTTTGTGCTTACTCTTGTTTTTCTAATTTGTTGATATAGTTTCTTAGATTATGATTTCCAACCTTATTTTCTATGAATTTAAATACCCTACAGTTTCCCTCTGAGTACTGTTTTAAAATGTTTTGCATTTTTAATTTCATTCAGTTCAATTTTCTGATTTTTCTTGTGGCTTTTCTTTGACCCATCAGTTTATTCAGAAGTAGGCTCTAAAATTTCTCAAGCATCTGGGGATTTTGCAAAGAGCTATTTTTCATTCAATTCTAGTTTATATTCTAGACTTTGTTTCTATTCCAGATTCTACTTTATATTCTATGCTTTGTTTAGAAAATACACTTTTAATGGTTTTATTGTTTTTAAGTTTGTGAGATTTATTTTATATATTACCTGTTAGATTTTTACATACCTTAGAGACTGTGATCTCTATAAGTATAGTATTTTAAATTAGGTTAATTTTGAACTATTCATTGCTAATAGGGCTGGGGTTGGAAATTTTGCTTGGCTCTCTGAATTAATTCATTATAATAGAGTTTGTATTAGCCATAAATTGCTGAATAATGCTGAACTTATAGTAATAGCTAACATATAACAACCATTAAAAAATTTTTTTTGGTTTGTATCTTCCACAAAAATATAATAAGTAGCAGCTTACTTGTGAAGTTATTGATAATTTTAATTTTCAAACTATTCATTTAGGTTTATTTAAAAATGTAAAGATTGAAAAAAATTAAGTACTATTTATATATTGTTTATCTGTATTGTATGGTTTAGTTAGCTGTAGTCTGATAAATTGGTCAGAGAGTAGAATTATTTTCCCACTTATAAATCTGTGCCTTTTTGTTGTTGTTGTTGTTATTCTATCAGTTCTAGAATTCGTGTAATGTTTATGATTTTATATTAAGAGATATGATTTAAATTTAAAATGAAGTCCATTCTTTGTAATTGGTAAATTACATTCTTGACCCACATGCCTTTCTTTTTTTATTTTACCACTTCATAGAAAGATGGAAAAGGAGTGCCCAGTTGATTGACAAATCATTTTTTTCCAGTAAAAAAGGCAACATTGATTTGATTTTTAAGTTTAATAGTCTTAACTCTTAAGTAATAATTATGTATTCAGCTGAAATTAATTTCCCTTTCATATAAATACATTGAATATTACTCTAATGGAGAGGTCCTTGTGTAACTACATGCAATAAATAATATGTTATTGATTTGAAGTTTGTTTAGGCATAGGATATTTCTCTCTTAATGTATGGTTTGTGTAATAGACTATCAAAATGAGATTGCATTCCCTGAGCACTCCCTAGTTTGGTAGCAGAACTCTAGGTATCATCTGGAAGGAGTGAACCTGATAGACTGCAGTCTAGTAATAGAAAAAAATAAGAGAATACTATGTAATATTATTCTTAGTAATTTATATAGACAGCATAAGCTGTTTTAGTGAATTGGATGATAGAATGATTTCCCATTTGAGTTATTTTGTTTCATTTTTGGACTTTTCAGGGACCAAAGTCATTAGCTCGTGACCTTCCCTTCTATTTCTGAAAATGCTTAGGTCACCAATATTCTTTTTTTTTTCTGGAGACAGAGTCTCACTTTATTGTCCTGGGTAGAGTGCTGTGGCGTCACAGCTCACAGCAACCTCTGACTCCTAGGCTTAAGTGATTATCTTGCCTCAGCCTCCCGAGCTGCTGGGACTACAGGCGCTCGACACAACGCCCAGCTATTTTTTTTTTTGTTGTGGTTTGGCCGGGGCCGGGTTTGAACCCTCCACCCCTGGTATATGGGGCCAGTGCCCTCCTCACTGAGCCACAGGCGCTGCCCAGGTCACCATTATTCTTAAACACATTTGCTTGTGTTATCATACAAAACACATTCAAAACATGGTCTATGCTTCGTGGTCTATGCTTGTTGCTGTCATTGCTTTCCACCCTCCTATTGCTTAATCTTTTGTTACATGATTTCTAGCTTCCATTCTTCTGTTGATGCTACATTCGAAAAAAGAGCCCTGATGTTCTAATTAAACTTTAATGATTTTTGACCCAGTTCTTATCCTCTTTGAGCTGGGTCAGCAGTTCCTTTTTCATTTAAATCTTCTGTATCCTCTGAGATACCATCTTCACTGCCAGCTAATGTGTATTGAATGTGTGCTATGAACTAGGATTAGCATCTTGGTTTACAAACATGGTCTTTCTTCTAAGGACTGTCTGTTAACCTCATGTGCTATTTGAATTAGATATACTCATCCTTTCATCTATGCTATTTTTAGAGAGATAGGGTCTCACTCTTGCTCAGGCTCATCTTGAGCTCCTGACCTAAAGTGATCCTCCTACCTTGGTCTCCCAGAGTGCTGAGATTACAGGTGTGAGCCACTGTGCCTGGCCCAAATCCAACTGCCTCAGCCTCCCAGAGTGGAGGGATTATAGGCATGAGCCCCTGCACCCGGCCTCCTTATTACTTCTTAATTGTCCTCCTTTGTTTTTCACATCCAAGCCACGTATCTAATTAAAGTATATTTATTCTATACTCAAAAAGTGATTGAAGATTCTAGAGTGTTGCTGATCGTGTCCACATCCTTGGTCTGCCATTTACTAGGTTTGTGGCCTTTTGAGAAAATTAATTTAGTTTAATTTCTTTATCTATAATACTGGGGTTACTATATAGGATATTAAAATGTTGAAAATTAAATGTTAGTTACCATTGGTACTAACTGCTATGGTTTAAATGTTTGTCTCCTCTAAAACTCAGGTTAAAGTCGGAACTGCCATTGTAACAGTCTTAAGAGGAGGGATCTTCCAGAGCTGATGAGGCCATGAAGGCACCACCCTCATGGCATTGGTGCTGTTAAAAAAAGAGGGAGTTCATCACCCTTTTATGTGCCAGCACCTTGATATTTGACTTCCTAGGCCCTAGAACTGAGCTAATAAATTTCTGTTCAGTATTAAATTACTCAGTCTGTGATATTCTGTGACGGCAGCACAAAATAGATCAATACCCTAATGCTACTTCCGTAACTACCCAAACTGTCTCCATTGCCATCTGTAAAACGATGTTGAGAATCAGCACATTTTAGGATATTCCAGAATAGGTGTTCAGTTCTGCAGTTTCCGGTCTTATTTGTGATTGCTCTATTATGTGTGCTTTGTGCTGTAGTGAAGCTGGACTCCTTTAAGATTGCCGGAACTCTCCTCATGTTTTACCACTTTGGGGCATTCTCTCACATTATTCTATTTTCTCTATTGGGCTTGATTCATGTCCAAAATGTAACAGACATCTTGAACATAACACACATTATAACTTTGTAATAAATACTTCTTATATCTAGGTTTAATTTCACTTTGACTATGGCCATACTGTCCCAGGATTTTTGTTTTTTGTTTTTTGAGACAGAGTCTAGCCGAGACTAGAGTATTGCGAAAACTTTTGAGGTCTGTACTCATTTGGTCTGTTTTGGGGTTTGACCCATTGGTAGATTCACTGCTTGGTTATGTGCATTTGATATCTGTTGCTATATAAGAAATTACTTTAAAACTTAGTGTTTTAGGATAATAAACATTAGTAGTTACCTGGTGATTTTGTGGGTTAGTAATTTGCGAGTAGTTTGTCTTGGCGGTTCTGCCTTAAGGTCTCTCACAAGTCCTGGTGAGATGTTGGCCGAGGCTGCACCCACCTGAAGGCTTGATGGAAGCCTCAGTTCCTTTGGTGTGGGCCTCTTCCTGGGGCTCCTTGGGTGTCCTTATCATTTGGCAGTTGGCCTTCAGAGTGAGTGATCCATAGACCGATCAAGCTTCTTTTTTCAAGAAGCTTCAGAAGTCATATACCATCATTTCTGCAATATACTCATCATACAAAGTGACTGGACCATGTGGAGGGTGGTGGTGGTGGAGAATTGAGCTTCATCTTTTGAGGGAGGATTGTTGAAGAACTTGTGGATATATTTTAAAATTCTACTCCGTGTGATTATGTGTTTTCATTAGGAGAGCTGATGAGGTTTGGAAAATTTTGCTATGACTTGTTTTAAATTGTTGCTATTTTTTTTTTAACCTTGCTTCATTGTTTACTGTGTGTGTTGTTGAAATTATCAGAAGTTTCACTGGCGAACTCTGAAGTCAAGAAGTTGTATTTAAGTTCTGAAGCAATAAGTATTCTTAATATGATTTTTATGGATTGTCAAAGATTTATGCATCCTTAATTTCTCTACTAATTTTGAGTTTGTTTTTAAATCTTGAAAATTTTGATAATTTTGTTTCTGTTTTCAGGGAACCAACACATCATTGAACGATTCCTAGCTCTCTCCTATGTTTACTAATTTCCTATTTTAAGAAGATGTACGTATACCATTATAGAAATGTGTTTATTGACATAAATGGCTTATTTTTTCCTCTCAGCTGATTTGAATAGGATGCACAGACAAAATATAGATGCCTACCATAACCCAGATGCGAGATCACATGAAGATAAAAGGGCTGTTGTATCTCTAGACCAAAATTTAGCCACTTCAAATGCTGAGAACCTAGAAGATTCTGCAAATAAAAACTCAGGTTTCTGATCACATTTTTTTTTAACATTTCTAAAGTTGTTCAGTAACATTTCTCTACTGTTCTTTGACTAAATTCTTATTGTGATTTTGAGAATTTGGTCACTCTGATTCTGGAAGCATAGTGTACGTCCATAAAGTATCTTTTCTTCATAGTTATTTTGATAAAAAGTATTTGGGGAAGTTTTATTCTTAATATTGTGTATTTCTTTTCAGCTTTGTAACTTGCTATGTGTAATTTACTTGCTGCTAACATTTTTATTTTGCTAGTTGGTAGACATTTCTTTTTTTTTTTTTTGGCCAGTGCTGGGTTTGAACCCACCATCTCCAGCATATGGGGTTAACGCCCTGCTCCTTGAGCCACAGGTGCCACCCGGTAGACATTTCTTAAAATCAAATACCTTTTTTATACATGCACAGTTTGCTTATAGCCATAACTGTTTGAATTAGTGAAGAGGAATCAGTTGTGATATGATAAATTATATAAGGAAATTCATTGTTTGCTTATTTTAGTAATCATTTACCCTTCCTTTTAAAATCACAGTATATCTTTGTCTAAGTAATTTAAAATTTAGTATCTGGTTACATTCCTTTTTTGTAACCAAATATCTTTGATTTACTCTTAATATCTTTTAATTAAAATATCTCTGTTAAAGGTAATCTATAAATTAAAAGCTATTAATGACATCCCAGGAAAAGTTGTCAAATATGTATGAAAGTATGTTATATATTTAAAAATCAAATGAAGTTTAAAGAATACACCACCTTGCACTATATTTTATTGCCTGTAGAAGTAACATTTACTACAAATGTACTTTCACGAACATTTTGATGTTAGACTGGAAAAGAACTTTTCAGTTAGGAAGTTCTTAAGTATTTTTGACTGATCATGCAGTCTTTTTTGTTTTTAACCTTATTATTGGCTAGACTGATGAGTTAAATTAGGAGCTGTGATTAGTCACTAGCTCTGCGTCTTCCAAGTCTTTGATGGTGGCCATAATCACTACAGCCCTTTTGAATACTTCAGGAGATGGGTTATTTGCTGTTGCTGTGGGTGGTCTATTCCAGTCTATTCTCTGATTATGAGAAAATGCTTTCTTATTGTGATCCGCAATAAATTTTTACTCATTGGATCCAGCTTTGATTTTAGAACACTAAAATTAGAACTGGAATTTTGATGAAACTACTGATTTGGCTCTCTTAATTATTAATAATTCAGTATGTTGAATTTTGACTTCTTTCTGAATATCATTATTTTCTTTTTTTCATTTGCTGCTTTTTCTAGTAGTCTGTATTGAAATAGCAGTGCTATATAGACTCTGTCTCTACTCTTTTCTTCCATACCAAGTAATGTTTGTAGTTCTTTCTCAGTCTAGAACTTACTTTATCTTAGTAGTAACACTTCTGGGCATCTTGCTCTGCTCATCAGACATCGGAAAATCAACAGTTTCCATGGCCCCCTCCCAAAAGCATAGCTTGGTGATTGAACATGCACAACAAAACGTGTGCTCTGTAGCCTTGTGTACCCGCTGCTAGGAGCTGATGCTGGTAGTGTTGCCAGGATGCTCTATTTTAAGAAATCATTAAAAAATCATAAAATGTGTAACATTTTTTTTTTGTGAATTGAAATTCCCTAAATTAGACTTTCCTTCCCTAAGAAATTAACCTAATAAACTTTCTGAATTCAAGAAACTATCAAGCCACCTATTTGTGCTATGACATATACAGAGGGTGCCAAAAATATGTACATACATTTTAAGAAAGGAAAAAACTATTATAATATTCAGGTCATGTCAACATCTGCACTTACAGGAGGTGCTCAAATGTGACTTGTATTCATCTTTTGCTGTTGGTATATATTGAGTACTACAATTTTATTATTTGTTTGTTTGTTTGTTTGTTTTGAGACAGAGCCTCAAGCTATCCCCCTGGGTAGAGTGCCATGGCTTCACAGCTCACAGCAACCTCCAACTCCTGGGCTCAAGCGAGTCTCCTGCCTCAGCCTCCCAAGTAGCTGGGACCACAGGCGTCCGCCACAATGCCTGGCTATTTTTTGGTTGCAGCCATCATTGTTGTTTGGCAGGTCTGGGCTGGATTCGAACCCACAACCTTAGGTGTAATGTGGCTGGCACCTTAGCCACTTGAGCCACAGGCGCCAAGCCGAGTACTACAATTTTAATCTAGTTTTTTTTTACATGTGTATACATTTTTTGGTACTTCTATATATGTATGAGTGCATATATATTTATATATTTATGTACATACATGTCTGTATATACATGTGGCATTTAATATTTTAAAGGCCTTAAGGAACTCAAATACATCTGAAACTTGATTGTTACAACCTGTTTTAAGGTTCATTATCCTCTAATGCAGTGGTTCTCAACCTTCCTAATGCCACAATGTATTTTCATTGTTACATAGGGGTGGCAAGCCACAGGTTGAGAACCATAGCTCTAATGTTTCTTTCTTTCTTTTTTTTTTTTTTTTTGAGATAAGAATCTCACTCTGTTGGTCCAAAGATGCTGTGGCATCATTTTTATTAGTCTGTTTTTGAGGCCCTTTGTTCTGTTCCTTGTTTTTCTTTCACTTTAAAGTTTTTAGATGACCTGCTATTTATTAAACTCCAGTACTAATTTAAGTTAAATTTATTTTTTAGCTTATGATATCTAGATACACTTTATTTTCTTTGAATATGAATGATCGTAAAGGCGAAACATACTATTCAATTTTGTTTTGCTAATCAGCTTTTCTACCACAGCATAAAATTTAAAAGAACCTTCAAAGTGATGTTTAGTTTGTTTTCAGTAGGAAAATTTTGTAGTGGAAAAAAGTATTTATAATGTCTAAGTATTAATTTGGCTTTTTGCTATTTATTCAGTAAGTGTTAATAAATTTAAATACAAAGACAAAATAGACCTGAATGGCAGCTACACTGCAAAACAGACAGTCTGCACAAAGCTACGTGTAAGAAACACACGCTCTGGATTGATGATCTGTCAGAAACTCAAAAATAATTTAAAAGTTATCTGAAGCTTAAATTTAAATGTCATTTTTTTCTCTACCCACAGAGATCCCAAGGGTATAATTGTTTTTCAGAGTGCTTTTATGAAATATTTTTTTCCTTCTAAGAGTATATAGGCAATATACAAGTATAATAAAATATTATTAGTCATGTTTATTTCTCATTTCTCATTGTTTTGATAGTTTTTTCTTCTTTTTAAGAGAGGGTCTCATTCTGTTGCCCAGGCTTGATTATAGCTCACTATATAACCTTAAGCCCTGGGGCTCATGTGATCCTCCTGCTTCACCCTCCCAGGTAGCTATGGTGACAGATGTGTGCCACTACACCCAGCTAATTTTTATTATTTTTTGTAAAGACAGGGTCTCACATTGTTGCCCAGGTTGGTCTCAAGTGATGCCCTGCCTTGGCCTCCCAAACTGCTGTGATTATAAGTGTGAGCTACTGTGTCTGGTTTCTGATAGTTTTTAAAATAAAAACTATTACAGTGATTAAGATTCATTTTAATTTTTTAGAAATATTTTTATAGCTGACTTTCTAATCTGTTTAGACTATATATGGAAAGAATTTTGGAATTACTAATTTTAAAAAACAATTTTAGAAATATTTAAATATACATATATAATACATTTCAATGCAGTTAAGCAGTATTTTTAAGTAAAAAGATAGTTACACACATAAGAATTAAAATATGTACTTTTTCTCTCTCCATAAATTCTAGTTTAAAGCCTTTGGTGCAGTGAGAGTTGTTTAGGTCTGTTAGTGTTACATTTCCTTGGTGGGCTTTTTTTTCTTCTTAAATTATAGACAATAGTATAATTTTTTAACTGCATTAATTTTATTTTAGTTTTACTATTTTTCTTTCTTTTATTACTTTTCATCTCATCTTCAGATTTTAATCTCAGCCTTCTGTTCTGATTTTAACCCCTGGCCTCCTATATTTAGCACAGTTTTTAAAAATATGAATTTATTAGCAAACTCTTTATTCTTTAACCTTTACATTTTCTAAGCATTGGTTAATGTTACATTTTTGCAAAACATCTCTTTTAAGGTCATGTGCAAACACAGAGCTCTCCTTTTGCTCGGGGAAATATATTTGGTGAGCCTCCAACTGAACTTCAGATTAAACAGCAAGAACTGTACAAGGATTTTCTTCGTTTTCAGGTGAAATGCTTATTTGATCATAATTTCAAAGTTTTGTAAGATTTTTAACAAATTGAATTTGCAGAAATTTTTCCACAGGATCAATATTAACTTCTAAAATGCTATGCAATTATCTAAAATATCTAAGGTATCAGATAGAAGTGATACTAAAGTTATTTATATCTGAAAAAAAGGAAATGAGACAGGTATAGTAATTGATTTAATTTTTTCTAAACTATTAAATTATTAATTTTAAATTGGAAAATGTTGAGATTTTTAAAACTGCAAGACTTATGAAAATATCTGTCTATTGGGCATTCATAAGTTAGTTATACTTTCTGGATACTTATAAGTTAGTAGAAAAGCAAGTTTTTTCCCAAATGATTTTATATTCTTGACTCATATTACAGATATTAAATACATAAACTGAGATAGAACCACATTTTGCAGTTATTTGCCCTATTTATGTCTGTAAGTAAAATAGCATTTTAAAATAATAGAAAGGCCTAAACTATTCCCAGAGGAAGACACCTGTGTATCCGGTGTTTATTAAGCTAATAGATGTGTTGAACTCTCACAGTGTGTCCACGCATGTGCTGAAGACCAGGGATATAGCTTGAGATGAATAAGATACTTGTTCATAATCGACGCACAGTTTTTTCTTTCCTTAACACCCTCCCCGTCATATCCATACATACATCCTAGTATCAGATTAATCCTGTGGCCTGGTTAATCTTCCTTTGATAAGAGTTCTTACATGCTGTTCTTTACTCAAAACCTGGTAAGTTTTCCTTGCCTTACAGAAATTATCTAGTCTAACTCTTTAGCCGGACATACAAGGCTGTCCAACCAAATCCCAACCTCATAAAATAGATTCTGCTATAATATGTCTTCTTCTTTCTAATCCTATTATTATTGATCTTAAATAAGGCAATGACATAATGGATATAGTCTTTAAGGATGATTGATCTGACGGTAATGTTTAAGATATATTAATGGGCCAGGAGTGGTGGCTCACGCCTGTAATTACAGCACTCTGGGAGGCTGAGGCCAGCAGATTACAAGCTCATGAGTTTGAGACCAACCCAAGCTAGAGCAAGACCCTATTCTAAACATAGCCAGGCATTGTGGCGGGTGCCTATAGTCCCAGCTACTTGGGAGGTGGAATGAGGAAAGAGAATCACTTGAGCCCAAAAGTCTAAGGTTGCTGTGAGCTATAATACCATGGCACTCTACCTAGGGCCATAGTGTGAGACTCTGTCTCAAAAAAAAAAAAAAAAAGATAATAATGATGGAAAATTGAAAAGACAGAAAACAAGGCTATTTTACTAGAGTAGTTATAGTGGAAATAGATGGAAAGGCCTTTCTAAGAATCAATGGAAGCAACGTAGATATTGAATGTGAGACAGTGGCATCAGAGATCCCAAGACCATTGTCCATTCAAGTCAGATAGCAGCAGGGTTGAGGGTACAGAGTTAGCTGTTGAACTTGAAGGACCCTGTAGTATATTGGTCCCTAATACTAGCAAGTCCCAGTTTAAGTAATAACTCTTATTATATTTAGTAAGTTTTACTGTTATGTAAGGTAGAATTTAATAATAATAAAAAGAACAGCAACTTTACAATTATATATCCTTTTTGTTTATAAGATAATTTTACATGTAGTATCTCATTAAACTTCATAATTCTCTAGGAAAGGTTTTATTGTCTCTATTTTATGACATGCAGCTAAAACACAGAGTAACAGGCTTGCCCGTACTATTGGAGCTAGCAAATTGTAAGGCCAGTACTTGAACCTATGTCACTTGACTTCAAATAATGTATGTGTAGCTATTGTACTTTAATAGGGATCTCTAGGAATGCTTTTCCTCTGGGAAAAAAAAAAAAAAACTATAGTAATGGGGGAAGCTTTGACTATTTTAGTTTCAGTCTTTTGTTCTCCCAACCTGTAAATCCTGTGTGGGTGAATGGATTGGTTTTGAATGATAGTTTTCAAATTTTTCTTTTAGTGACCTTTTAAAAATTACTTCCCCCCCCCCAAAAATCTAACATAGAATTCTAAAAAAATGTAAAGTAGCATAATGGTGTTTATTATTTTGTCAACAATAAAATGATAGACAAGAAGTATCTAAAACTAAAGTATTAAATGTTATAAAATGTTCAAATCTTTGCAAAAAGATGGCAGGAGAAGCCCAAGATTTACAGTTACGTTATACATTAGCTCAAGTTAATGTGTCAGGGGTCTTTATGCTATTAAAATTTAGTAAATAACACCTGTGAGTATTTGATGTTTTTAATTGTAGCTTTAAAAATAATGTAAACATTTAATAAAACATCTGCAAAACCTCTAAAGGACTTCTATATTATGCAGTTTGAAATCCATGACCTAGAAGGTGGCTTTCTTCTTTTTGTTGTGCTACATTCTTGTTGGCATTAAGATTTGGATTCCCTAAGGGTGTGGTCCATTAATGGTTTACAAACTGGTATTATTTGGTTTTGGTGGAGAAGTGACTCTGTGAGTATAATTTTTTTTTCATGAAGTACTAGTAAGGGGGAAATATGAAATTTTGTTGGATTTTAAATGATGTTTTCTCTAGATATATTGTACTTAAAGAAGTGATTAAATGCACGCTGTTTTACAGTGCTTCCTAAAAAGTAGACTTGCGCATATTTAATAGTGTTGTAAAAAGCATTGGAAAAAGGCCTTGTATATCAAGTCATGTGAGAAGATTAAAGTTCTTATCACTCAAAAAGTTCTTATCACTCAAAAATTGACATTGCTAGATAGAGCAACCTTGAAGCTAGAGGGAATGTACATGAGAAAAACAAGTATGATGAATAATCATAATCATCCATACTTAAGGGTAACTAAAATCTGTTGATATCCTTAAACGTAGTCATCAACACTAATACTCATGTTGCCCTTCTCCTCTGCCTCCTTCGTGGAGGATGTGGACCAGCTCTGAGGAACCTCCTCCTTTCAGATCATTGGCTCTGCCTTAGAATATTCCACCCAGAGAACTCCGCATTGCAGGCCCCAGTTATGAATCCTTGTGGCCTAAATCCTACACCTAACAGTTTTAGTTCTTTCTCCATTGGCCTGCCAGATAGGAAATAAGAGAGGACATTTGGGGGAAGTGCTTTTCCCTTGAAAAATTATTAAATACTAAAATATTGGCTCGGCGCCTATAGCTCAACCGGCTAAGGTGCCAGCCACGTACACCTAAGGTGGCGGGTTCGAATCCCCAGCCCGGACCCGCCAAACAACAATGACGGCTGCAACCAAAAAATAGCCGGG